GGGAGCGTCGGGGGAGCACCGGGGGAGCGCCAGGGGAGCACCGGGGGAGCGCCAGGGGAGCGCCGGGGGAGCGCCGGGGGAGCGCTGGTTGAGCGCCGGCGGAGCGCTGGGGGAGCCCAGAATAGCACACGGTACAAACAGTTCCTTGATGTTGTTCAACGGCCAAGACACCGGTTTAAGGACGCCCCATGTTTTTTCCCGGTTTTTTTCCTACCCTCGCGTCCTTGAATTGGTGTCTTGGTCCTTGGATATCAAAAAGCTTTTTTTTACCGAGCAGCCCGGGTTGGAGAGGGCGGACAAGGTAACCGGGCGAGCGACCTAGCGATCTGAGGTGACAGGAAGACCGGGTGACAAAATCGAAACCCACCAAACAAAATCTAACGGTCTACGGTGACGACCAAATATCAAACTTCCATGTAAACGTGAATCCAAAGGAGTAATTTTGGAGTACGTTACGTTGATTCAACGATGAACTGTCTCGTGGGAATCCATGTGGATCATTCACGGGGAACCACAATGATGCGTGGACCCTTCGTTCCACCACTTTGCGTAAAGAAGTACCTACAGGAAGCAAGAGCAAAAAGGGGCCTCTAATTTGTGCGTTATCTCACCAACTCGTCAGTGCCACTGTTACTGTTGCCCCAATACACCAAACCTTTCTACTGCTAGAGGTACACTTCTCTTTCTCTCTTTCCATCCTGATCCCGTTTCGCTGGTGGCACACCCTCTCTCCCTCCCTCCAAAGCGCGGCGACCGGAGGGACGCGGCGCGCCCTGGCGTTGAATCCAAGCAAACAGGTGTCTCTTAATTCGCCAACTGGGACAGAGTCCCTGATTGCAGGTGGGGGTGTAGTACCCGAAAGGGCGGTGAAGGGGGTCGAGTGGGGGGTACCCAACAGATGAGGGGGAGGGGGCGAGAAACGCCCGCGCATGTAACTGCGTCGTCCCCAAACTGCCGAACATAAGCGCGCCCAGCGCCGCGCCGCGCGCCGCGCCGCCCTCCCTAACGCGCGGCCATCTACAAGTGACTGAGATGGATGATGGGCAGCGCGAGGAGGGACCCACCGCGGCGGCGTGAGGCGAAGTTGGAGCCAGGGCGTCGGAAATAACTTGATAAAGAAAGCAGCGGAGTTAATAAAGCACAACAGAACGTGACCTTCCCGGGCAGATGTTCAAGTGGAACGGAGACGGGGGCAGGGGGGGGGGGGGTGGAGGTCCTGGATCGCGAGCTCATCAACAGGGTGATTTCCCCCGCAATGTAGCGCTAGTGCTTAGAAAGGTGGAGGTTGTAGAAGACTCAAGGTAGAGAACAGGACCACCGCGTTTGGCAGGGTTGTGTTTGTCGACGAGCTGAACTGCTACTACTCACTACTTTCGCCCCCCCCTCCCCCTTCCTCTTTGCAACATTGCCGCATCCCGTCTGTGCCACAAAGCGAGCAGAGCCCCGGAAGCACGCGGCCAAGTCCGGGTCCAGGGCCACTTCAATTCGTTCATTCACTCTGCCTGCCTCACTTCATGTGTGAAATATGTTCTGTATTTGTTTCATTTCCTACTCATATTTTACCAAAGTGCCAAAGCGCGCGCTGCTACGCCACGCCCTGCCCCCACGTCCCCGAAATAGAGAGGGAGAGAGAGACAGAGAGAAAGAGAGATAGAGAGAGAAGAGGGGGTGCTGGTCGGACAGGGAAGGACCGTAGAACAACCCAGTGGGCCAAATACGATTATTTCTGACGCACGATGGCTGATCCAGCGGCACGTCCCGCCGACTCCATTAGAGTAATTAGAAAGCACCCGCCCTCCTCTTTCACCATCCCCTCCCCCTCCCATCCACCTGGAATTCAGCCCCCCTAACCCCCTTTCCCCCTCCCCATCTCCCCATAGAGCGCTCGGGTGCGTTCGGAAAGGCTCGGGGTGGTATCCACTCCACTGTATACTTTTCCACCCCTCTCCCTCTCAACCCCCACCCACCCACCAGGTGTCCTTCCCTTTCTCTCTCTCTCTCGGCAGTGAGCTGTGCCGCAGAGAGAGCGAGAAAGAGCAAGAGAGAGAAGGAGACAGAGAGAGAGGGAGAGAGAGAGAGAGAAAGGGCGTAAGGGTAGAGGTCGGTTTTATGCCACGGCGCTGCGCGCGCGGGATTTGAGCCGCGCGGGGTTTTATGGAACTATTACTCACCCCGGCCCGGCCGGCTCCACAATGCTACTCCCGCTAATGCCCCGCCGCGCTCCTGGAGGTGGACTGGCCGGGGGTGGACAGCGCTCCTGGAGGTGGACTAGCCGTGGGACTGGAGTGGACAGCGCTCCTAGAGGTGGACTAGCCGAGCGCGTCCTGGACGTGGACTGGCCGAGGGGTGGACAGCGCTCCTGGAGGTGGACTGGCCGGGGGACGAACGGTGCTCCTGGAGGTGGACTAGCCGGGGGGGCCTGGCCTGGAAGTAAATTCTAATGTAAGCGCGAGGACTGGATAGGACAACGTTCTAGAGGAGGACTGACCACTGAACTGTCCGTCGGCGAACAAGCGCGCTCCTGCAGGTGGACAGGTGGACTGGCCTGAAGAATAGACAGCGCAGCGCTGCCATCGAAGCGGGAGATAGTGTCCCCTTCCTGCCGCCGTGCAGGAGGCCGGGGGCCGTACGCGGGTCAGCAGTGTCGTGGTGTGTCGCAGCGGCGAGGGGACAGCCTGTCCGGGCAGCCTGTTCGGGACAGCGCGCCGGTCAGCCGGGGCTGTTTGTTAATCTCCCTCGCGTGCGCCGCGCATAAAAGGTGTTGCGGAGAGCAGTGCGGCGTTAAATCTAAAGCTGGTCGGCGCCGAAGCAGAACGGATACCACGACGCTCGGCAATCGCCCTCTGCAACCTGCACGATAGAAATCAAAGATCGTCTTTACGCACAAAACAAAATGCTACGAATTAAATGATGGAAAAACTTGCTCTGCTCAAGCCTATAGCGTAATACGATCTGGAAATACCCCAAGTGTTGTAACTACACGGTAACTATACTTAGCATGCCGTCGTTTGGCGTGGGTATGTTGGGGGGGGGGGCGGTCCGAGCGGTCCGGTCCGAGAGCAGCCGGCCGCAACGATAACTGCACCGTGGTTCGTGGTTCGCAATTAAGCCAACCCGGCCAATGCCCGCCCCGCTTGCAATGCTTGCATACGGTGGGCATCAATCCCCGTGCCGTCCCGCGCACCATGCCGCTGCGTGCGTCGTGTGGCGACTCGCCCTTCACCTCCCCTGAGGGGGGTTGAGTTGAACACGGGCGCGCAAAGGTTAGCGAGCTTTCTCTCGTCCGGTCCGCGTACCCGCCTCCAACTGTTTCCGCCGTGTACTGCACCCCCCCGCCCCCCTCGCGCGTCACTAAGCACCGCCGCTGCACTCGACTTGCTTTAACTTTAATCCACAGTCCTTTAACCCTCACTTAACTCACCCCGCCCCACCACGTCACGCCGGCTGTAGAAAATTATTCTTGTTTATAATAACGCGTCGCGGTTGTTGTTTTGGTACGAAACACACCCTCCAAATGACTTGCGCCGGCCCCGCCCCCGTTTCTGCCGCGCGCACGCCACGGGACACACCTCTTTCTTGTAGGCGGCCCGTACCGGCCGGCGCTGTTGCTTGGCGGATGAAATTTGATAACTATTGCGCGGCGCGTTACACGCTGCGGAGAGGCCGGGGGAGGGGGGGGGCGTGGAGGAAGTACTTCTTGACCTCTTTTTTACAGCACAGAGTCGCGGACGGTATCAGGGGAAGGGGAAACCGACACTCACCTAACGACCAAATGCGATTCCCTCATTTTATTGCACTTACGGATGTGATAACAATAAAAAAATAATCGAATTTTCGGAGGGGTCTCATCGTCAAGTGCTAAAAAGAGACCCAAAAACATACTATTAGAGTTCACAGAGAGGAATGTCTTAGCTTTGAAAGCAGGTTTCATAGGTTAGCTCGGTCACCAACACCATTACTAGTCACAAAAGTCAAATAAATTTCCATATATTTGAACAAGTAATCGATGAAGCAAAACATCAACAAAAAGGTGGCGTATAAACGATTTGAAATAATAATTATTTCGACGGTTGATATTGTTAGGCGGCCTCCTAACCTTACAGCATGACGCAAGGGGATTGTGCAAGTAGGAAAATAATGCTAACAAGAGTTAAACTTACTCGATTTGATGTTCTTCTTACGTTTCTCTTATTACTCATTTACTTTAACGAAAACCCTAGAACTGACGACGAGAAAGTACGACGGCCCACAGACTTCGGCTCAAACTCCAGTCTTCAGAACTTCAGAAACGCGCAAATGTGAAACAGCTGTTGCTGGACCAATCAGGTGTAGGGAAAGCCAAAAATCCCTGGCCTGGGAATAAGTTGTCATCTGCCGGCCAGAAATGACGTTTCGTAGAACAAAAGAAAAACAAACAACACTAGCAGACGAGCACTTAGCTCTCTGCGTTTGTATTTCTCACCTAGAAAAATGATTTGATCTAGCTCTTGGTCTTATCTCACATCTCGATGGCTGTCAGTAAGTGTTTACCTCCGTATACATCTACAACCCTGAGAACTAGATTCAATGAGAAGAGAAAAATGTTAGTGAAAAACTATGAAAGGGTTAAGGGACATATACATTCACAGCTAATATCTTCTTTTTTTTCATTCCTCATGTATGCCAATATAGTTGAAGTTGTCTCTAAAAGTTATCACATTTAAGAAAAATAAGTCAACTTGCCTCCTTTTTCCGCTTTGTGACAAAAGAGATAACTCAGTGAGCGAACAGGCCAGAGGTGTGAACTGAGAACCTAAGGAGACAAGATCACATTTCTCCAAATGTCGATGTGTGTGCAACGGTCAAGTGCAATTGTCTCTTTATACCGATAAGATTGTAACGAAGATGGGATTAAGGCAACATAACTCATTTTTCATTTGATCATATCTCAGAAACTTTGGTACGTAGGCGCAGAATATTTTCCACAAATGTGCCCCATGAGTTGAAGATGAAAGGCCAATGAAAATCTCACTTTGGGGCATAAGTCAGTTATTCCCTTCTTCTGCTTTCTGGACCAATTATGCCGTCATGACAGCTGAAAAAGAGACCTACATATCTTCTTGTAATAATATGTGCAAAACATTTTACTGTAGCAGCAGAACGTGTATAGAAAATTGAAATTGAATTTGAAGCCAATAACAATTTTTGAGATTTGTATGGCAAAGTATTAGTTCGTATTGCAAAAACCTATTCTTTGCAAGCTGCCTGAATCTTTGCAACCTGCATCGCAAAAAAATAGTTTTTAGACTTGCGAAGAAGTAGTTGCGCATTACAATGATTCAAAGTTCTTTGCAAGCTGCAAAGAAAATCGTTTGCACACCCACAGAACCATTTTAGTTGATACATGATACATCTAAATCAGGGTTTTCAAAAACAAAATTTAGTTCGTAAAACCAACAATACTTTAGTTGCCCCATTTTGAACTAAGTAAAGTCAACACGATCAAGGTCAGTCAGCTAGTCATCGCCTTGGATAAATTTTGGTCTCCAGAGCTAAAATTTCGTCGGTTTTGAATTTGGTTCTCTGGACTAAACGGTCTCCTGGGTGCAAATACGAACCTAATTGTTTGCTAGCATTTTGCAGTGTGCTTGAGTAGTGCTACCTTCATCTAGGCCAGCGATCCTCTGGAGACGACAGACAACGCCAGAGGGGGGGGGGGTGAAGGAAGCTGTCCATCATCAATGTCTCCGCATCGGGCCACTGTGCCGCCGGCGCTGCACCTGGCGGCACTGTCAGCAAGAGGAGGGGCGCAGGGGATTCAAGCTCGTCACTTCCCGACAAACTCCAGTGCACCTTCTAGGTCGGTCGGGCGGACGGACGGACGGACGGACGTGCAGGACGGGCGGGTGGGCAGAGTTACTGACTGACTGACCGTCTGCCTGCCCGCCCGCCCGCCTGCCTCGCGTTGCCTGGCCGCATAACTCAGGCCCGCTGACCTATGGCCAGTCTACACGCGACTCAAGTGGGGGTGCGGGGAACCCCTCCCCCCCCCCCTGCCGCGGACCAGCGCTCTATGCAGAGCCACCGGAGCAGCAGCTCTCGCTTTCGTTGGCACCTTCACACTTGATAGGGCCAACATGTGTGGGAGGGAGTGAAGTGAGAGAGAGAGAGAGACAGAGAGAGAGAGAGGGGGGGGGGCGAGAGCCAAAGCGCCACGCCCCTTAGCGCCGCCAGTGATTTAGCCCCATCTCTATTGAGCAGCTCGCTACAACATGATAAGGCGAGTAAGGGAGTGCTCCCCCCCCCCCCTTTTTTCACACACACACACACACACACACACACACGCACACACAGCCCCCCTCCCCTCCCTCCTTTTCACACACACACACACACACACGCATGGCCAGGCGCCTTGGCACACGCTCCATTTATTGCCCCTCTATCAACCCCCCTTGATCACTTCCAACAACACCACCACGTCCACCGCCGCCACTGCGGGTCGGATGGGTTGCCTACCTAACGGCTGCGCTGCTGCCGGGGCTGCTGCCGGGGCTGCTGCCCGCGCGCACACCTGCCAGACTGTTTATTTATTTTTATTTTTCTCGCTCCTTCCTTCCGACGTTCTCACCTCCTCCCCGCCGCCCTCCTCCCGGGCTGGCGTTATTATAACCCTACTCATCAGCCCCAGGCCAGCAGGCCCATGCTAATGCCCCTCCGGCTGGCCAGACTGGCGGGGTGCGGCGGGGCG